CTGTATCTGTCTGTCCTTCAGCCATCTCTCTGTGTCTGTCTGTCCATCAGCCCATCTCTCTGTGTCTGTCTGTCCATCAGCCCATCTCTCTGTGTCTGTCTGTCCATCAGCCCATCTCTCTGTATCTGTATGTCCTTCAGCCCATCTCTCTGTATCTGTCTGTCCTTCAGTCCATCTCTCTGTGTCTGTCTGTCCTTCAGCCATCTCTCTGTGTCTGTCTGTCCTTCAGCCATCTCTCTGTATCTGTCTGTCCTTCAGCCCATCTCTCTGTATCTGTCTGTCCTTCAGCCATCTCTCTGTGTCTGTCTGTCCATCAGCCCATCTCTCTGTATCTGTCTGTCCTTCAGCACATCTCTTTGTCATCATTCCATCTGTGTGCCTTTGTTTGTCCATCAATCCACCAGTCCATCTCTTTGACCATCAGTCCAAATGAGTCTCTCTTACTTTATATGGGGAACCTGTATGACAAAAGCAAAACAGCCTTTCTGTGGCAGGGAGAGGGGCAGGGCGGGGGGGTACCTTTCACTTACCTTACTGCCTCACGATTTTCCTGTATCAGTTTGTGACAGGTGCCCTGTGGCAATGCAGGAATTGAATTTTAGATGATAAGTGTGATTGGATTTTAGAGTAAATATGTGCAAGGTTGAGTCACTCGACATTCGGAGTATATTCATGATGGTGGGGGGGGGGTACACCCATCGAGAGCGTTGCCTCCTGAAGTTGCAGCAGGTCAAGGCCCTGCTTGATATTTAGTAGAATTGTTACATAACCAACCGGTTGCCCTGAGGGAAGATTCTCAGGCGATAATGCGATGGCGAGATGTCATACGGCCAGGATGGTTCAGCACTAAGTCATCTCATTATATGCAGTACTGCTTCAAAAACACTTTTGGGGGGGAGATAGATAGATGGATGGATGGATGGATGGATGGATGGATGGATGGATGGATGGATGATCGACAGATTGATGGATTGCAGCATTGCAGTTAATTACCAGTTGGTAGTGCAGCTTGTTCACACACAGGTAGGTCGTGCTGGTTGGCCTTTGACTCCTGGCTGATGATCTGCTCTGTTTCCTTCATTACGTTTCTGTGCTGACCGCTGGCCTGCTCTGAGCCGTCCCACACGCAGGGAAGCGCCGATAACGTTTTTGTGCCCAGCTAGGATTTAATTAAGTTGAACGCTTTCATTTCCAAGCAAGAACATTTTAATTTAATCCACATATATGTATGTATATTTAAATCCTGGGCTTAATGAAAATTATTGTTCTTTAATATTTTTTCATGAAGTAGTTGATCCAAAAATAAAAAACACTGACTGAGTCATTTGGTTTGAATTTGTGTGGAATTTTGAAAGGCAGTAGTAAATGAGACCCCCCCCCCCCCCCAGGCTGTCTGGCTGGTCTGACTTCCGCCCCCCCATCTGTCTTCCCTCTTGTCTTTCAGACACTCCCGTGTTTTTCCCGTCTTTCCATGGTGATTCGTACCTGGAACTGCCCCCCCTCTCATCACTCCTTCGGCAGGATGGGGCACCTTCCGTGCAGGGGGGGGTAAACGCAGTGACACTGTACCTCACGCTGAAGAGCGAATCTCCGCACGGCACCTTGCTCTTCAGTGCGTATCTCCCCTGCCGCCTGCTAGACACCCATTCTCCTCAAAAGAAAAGACCCTAACTCATTTCGTCTTGTAATGCAGGCCTGGGGGGGTGTGGGGCGGAGCACTGGGGGCGGAGCACTGGGGGCGGTCCCTGCGATCAGCAGTGCTCCATAAACAGCACGCCACTGTCAGATACGCCCTTTTACGGCTGCACATCTGAACTGAGACACTGCGTACAAAAAATTACACGGGAAGTGCGTTTTTTCCCCTGCATATATTCTGCGTAGTGTCTGCGTAGTGTCTGCGTATAGTCTGCGTAGTGTCTGCGTATAGTCTGCGTAGTGTCTGC